AGGGGGATTTGAAACTAATGTACTGATAAAACGTTCTGCAAATGTGACATCAATTTGGATTTGGACTTCCGGTTAGCGCCTGATAAGGCTTGCTCCCGTAGGCTCCTGATACATTTTGTGTTTTTCACGAATATACTTATTTACCAACGCTGAAGTTTGCCATATTATCATTTAAATAGTTCGAGATCATTCTCGACTATTATCAGAGTTTTTGAAATTGGAACTTTGTCGTCATTTTTGGCTTTAATTTCGTTTATCAGAGGCTGGGACGTACCGCTGGGCGAGTTGTCTTCAAACGCACACTCGTCCAGGTGTTATTTTGAATTTCTAGTCAGTTAATATAACATACCATTTTTAGCTAAGTATATTTGTATTTACTAAACATTCTTTTCAAAGTTTACTTACATTACACGCTTTTGCAGTTATACAAAAACCGTAATAATCATTTGTGGTCAATTATTTTCTGGGCTTGGATAGACGCCATCTTTGTTTTACCGTCAATTTTTGCCCCATATATCTGACCCATCTCGGTATCCTCTCTCAGCTTTTGTTCATTCTTGCTAAAATCATTTAAACGGAACCAGTGGTTTTACCCTCTCGGGCCTGATCACTGATAACCTCATCCATTTGGTCACTACAAATGGTCTGTCTGCCTCGTACTCTTTCTTGCAGGGCCACACTGCACTTACAGGAGTATCGGGCATCGATACTATTGTGCATTCTCGTAACGATACTTCCACACGGATTCCGACATCATCAGTATCGTACGAGAATTTACATGTCATCAAGCCAACAACAGCTGGTCACTGTAAGTCAGTTATTCCTCTGAATTTAGTGTCCTTAAACTGTCGCTCATTGAAGAATAAGTCATTGTCCTTCGGGGATTTTGTAACATCTCAGGACATTGACATTCTTGCATTGACAGAAACCTGGTTAGGTTCAGATATCGATGACCAGGTCCTAGCTGAGCTAATACCAACAGGCTATGAATTCCACCACAATGCTAGACTCGGCAAACGTGGTGGTGGGGTGGCTGTTCTGTTTAAGAAAGGCCTAAGTGTGAGACATCTCTCTTCCAGCCATGATGATGTATACACACACTTTGAGCACATGACTTGTTCTGTCATTGCTGGTGATAAACAATTTAGATTGTGTATCATTTACAGGCCTCCACCATCTAAACAGAATGCTTTCCGAAATACAGTGTTTTTTGATGAATGGTCTACCTTTTTAGACCACCACGTTGTTGTACCACAAGAGATTATTATCACGGGTGATCTAAATTTCCACTTAGACGATCTATCTAATGCTGATGCTCGCCAGTTCTCTGGTCTACTAGATTCCAGGGGTCTGATTCAGCATGTGACAGAAGCTACACACACCCATGGCCACACACTAGATGTGGTCATAACGAGGGAAGATAACTCAGTCCTTCATGGAGCTATTTCAGTGATTGATCCATGTCTAAGTGATGTAAAGAGGAACCAATCCGGTGATCATCGTGCTGTCCACACAAACACTGAATTGTAGTAATCCAGCTCGTGCAAGGAAAGAAGTGAGCTTCCGGAAATTCCGCGAAATTTCAATACCAGATTTCAACAATGACATTCAGTCTTGTTCCGCCCTTCAATCTACTGAATGCGATGTTGATGATCTTGTTGAAGCATACACATCTGTTATAGAAGCCCTTATAGAGAAACACGCACCTCTGCAAACTAAGGTGATAACTGTGAGACCAAATGCCCCGTGGTATAATGAAAATCTCCGCGTAGGAAAACACAACCGTAGAAAAGCAGAGAGACAGTGGCGAAGGACCAAATTAACCGTTCACCAACAGATTTATAGAGAGCAATGTCGGCTAGTTGGTTCACTACTCTTTCAGTCAAAGAAGGCTTATTATTCGGAAAGAATCGAAGAATGCGGCAAGGATAATAGACAGCTTTTTAGACTCACCAAAAATCTAAGAGGACCGAACGGTGAAATTATCCTACCAAGCTGTAATTCTGAAAAAGACTTAGCAAGCAAGTTCAGTGATTACTTTCTGAATAAAATCAGCTCATTCAGGAAAAATATTGCCGAAGTGAACACCTCTGCTGACATTGACATCTGTGTCATGACTGCTGACATTGCATTTGATGGGGAACCATTGGCAAAGCTCTCACCAACAACCCAGGAGGGGTTGCGCAACATTATCATGACCTCGCAATCGAAGTCATATGAGCTTGATCTACTGCCTACAGACTTATTAAAGCAATGTCTTGAAGCACTGCTTCCTTTGATTACCTCAATCATGAACAAATCATTGGCTGAGTCAAAAGTTCCATTATGTTTCACGAAAGCACATGTCAGACCATTGTTAAAGAAACCTGGAATGGACAAGGAGGAGTTGAAAAACTACCGCCCAGTTTCAAATCTGCCTTTTCTGTCTAAGATCTTGAGAAGGTTGTGTCCCGGCGTTTAGAGGTTCATCTCCATGCAAACAGTCTCCATGACAACATGCAATCGACCTACCGCATGGGACACTCTACTGAGACGGCCCTCCTACGTGTACATAATGATATAGCTTCTGCATTGGATAACAAGTGCAGAGCGGTGCTTGGTATGCTGGACTTGTCAGCTGCTATTGACGTCATCGACCATGGCATACTTTATAAACGTCTGGAATACTCTTATGGAGTGACTGATACCGCACAATGCTGGATACAGTCTTACCTGAGTGAACGACGACAGAGTGTTGCCATCGGATCTTCCACCTCACATGATAAAGTACTATATTTCGGGGTTCCTCAAGGGTCGGTGTAAGGACCACAAAAATATTGTATGTACTCCAAACCGATTGGAGAGATTTGTCGTCGCCATAGCCTTCGCTATCATTGCTATGCCGATGACACACAAATTTACATGGTCATCAAACCACAGGACAGTTGGAATACAGTCTCAGAAAGTCTGGAGGCTTGTCTGATATATATCAGTATCTGGATGAACGCCAACATGCTTAAGCTTAATCAGGAAAAGACGGAACTAATCGTCTTTTCCCCAAAGTGTCAGCAAACAATGGCTCTCCTGCTCAAGGTCGGTGTCATAACTATTGAGACTGTTCCAGCTGTTAAAAACCTAGGGGTATACTTTGATAGTTCACTGAACATGGAGAAACAAGTGCACGCTATTGCCAAATCCTGTTACTACCAGATCAGGAACATCGGCTGTATTCGGCAGTTTTTAGCTGCAGATGCATGCAAGATTTTGGTGCATTCACTTGTTACCTCTCGGTTGGATTATGGTAACGCCCTACTCTGTGGTATATCTGACAAACTAACTAGTCGTCTGCAGAGGGTCCAGAACACTGCAGCACTGCTAGTTACTCGTACTCGAAAGAGAGAGAGCACACCGCACCTGTGCTTTATTCGTTGCACTGGTTACCTGTACGATACAGGTCGCAGTACACAATTCTGGTGTACATAGACAAGGCAATGAATGGAACAGCTCCTCAGTACCTACAGGAACTTGTTACCCTGTATCAGCCGTCACGATCACTGCGGTCGGAGTCAGAATCTTTGTTGTGTGTCCCATAATCTCCGACTGTGACCTACGGAAACAGATGCTTTGGGAGGGTTTCGGCTACGTTGTGGAATAGCTTACCATCTGCTATTAGAAGTTAAATACCCTGGCCAAGTTCAAGAGGGACATCAAAACTCAACTCTTCAAGTCTGCATTTTAGAATCTTTGCAAAAACGTCATGTAAATACCACCCTTTTATTTGTTCAATTATGTGCACATTGCTTGCTTAAATGTATAAAAGTGATTGTAAGCCTTTGTTTTTTTTTGTTTTCACAATTATAACATTAACTATTATCCATATGTTGTAAAGCGCTTTAGAGTAATTTTACAAATTATATAGGGCGCTATATAAATGTTGTATATTATTATTATTATCAATCATCTAGATCACAGTAATATATCAAAACTGACGATAAGGATTATTTAGATATAAAATATTAGTTCCAGTCCATCGTCTTGTCTAGACGTACTTGATGTGTGCACTCAGTATTACCCAATACCTTATTGGACAGTACCTAGTGTCCGTTGTTACTGTCAAACCGTTGGATTATGGGGTAGCACAGTATTTTGTGTTAGATTCTGCGTCCGTTTGTTACCGGTTTGCTTCCATTTGCTTTGTTTTTGTTGTTTACTCCCGTTTCCTTTGCGAATTATGCACCTTTCAGGATGTTTGTCTTGAAGTAGTTACGTGTCTGCCATCTCTTCTGTCTGCCGTCGTTGATCCGGTTTCCATGCCAGAAGGGTAGCCTCCAGCGCCTGCTGTATAATTGGTGTGTTAGAGGACGACATCTGCAGCACTGATGCGGTCGACCTATTCCTGTATAACGAAGATCTACTCCTTCTTACCGATCTTAATCGAGACTGTTTGAGTTTGAATTTAATTCGCGAACAGAAAAGCATTTTACACTCTCTGTGAGTACAATGTTTTGCATGGAACAAACACAAAATGATCAACTGCAAACAGACACGACACACAACGTTGTTCCGTTCCCTACAACAGTTGGCATGGGATATGATCCTTTTCATCTTGTGACATTGACGTACTGGACATGCGTCGTCCGTGCACTGACATGCATGCTTTAAGTTCTCTAAACACATCATTATGTCATGACGTCGCGATTCTAAGAGACCTTCCGCCATTTGCTTTCTTTGAATTGAGCTGTCCTCTTCGTTCATGCAATGTCTTTGGTTACAGAAACTCGAATTGCGTTATTCTGAAATAAGAAAAAGTTTAATTTAAAATGGATTATGTAAACAATATTTGATTCACAAAGGGCTATTCACCCAACGATATGAGACCATCCTTAACAGTTTTAGATTTTTCAGTATGGCTGTATATGAGCGACGTTAGCGGTATGTTACCCAATTTCTGTATTTGATCCTGAAAACAATGGAGCATAATGGATGTTATTATATATACTTATACTATAAAGGCACCCAACAAAAAGGTGTAACTTAAGACGCAGACAACGCGACAGCTTTCCTACATATAAACATTAGTATGCCAAAAACCTACACAACAACATGTACCACGTCGTACACGGATACATAGTTGGTAAGGTTAGTGATGCTGCTTGCTATTTATATATAGTGTTTTACTCACTTCTGAGAAGAATGAATGAGAAGCTTTGAAACGGTTCGGACTCAAAGAAAATTAAGTTTCTCCTATGGTCAGTTAACATGTCACGCAATACGTAAGGGAAAGTTTATAAAGCAATATTTTGTATAGCAGTATATTTTTCAACATAAGATATAACGGTAAGTTATATAGTAAGAACTATAAATATAGTACGTGTAATTGTAAGTGGAATATTGTCTACGAAATCTATAGCAATAGTGTCCAATCCCAAACTAACGTATGTATCAGACTTAATAAATGTTGTTATATGTGTGTTTCTTCACCGATCTGCAGACTGTAATAAACAGCCGATATATATTGACTACCAAAGGAATACATTTTCTTCGTTGCTACATGGTACACAAAAAATTGCGTTGTGAAAAAAATGTTTGTAATAAGTCTAAGCAATAGTTGTAACTAAACAACCGTGTTTAAATAGGAGGGGTAGGTATTGATCGATGATTGTGTAAACCAGGACAGATATAGACTAGCGCAGTCACTGTGTAGACATTCACCATTTATAATACGTCCAAGGTACGTTGTCAACACGGATAGTCAGTTCAATATAAACTGTCCTCGAATTGGGACACCTAGGACCACCTCACACACACGTAATACGTGCCTGATATTCGTGGTTATACTCTTATTAGTTAACATTTATACTGTTATACGTTAACAGTTATACTGTAATAAGTTAACATTTATACTATAATAAGTTAACAGTTATACTGTAATAAGTTAACAGTTACACTGTTATAAGTTAACAGTTACACTGTAAATAGTTAACATTTATAATGTAATAATTTAACAGTTATACTGTAATAAGTTAACAGTTACACTGTTATAAGTTAACAGTTACACTGTAAATAGTTAACAGTTATACTGTAATAATTTAACAGTTATAGTGTAATAAGTTAACAGTTATACTGTGATAAGTTAACAGTTATACTGTAATAAGTTAACAGTTACACTGTAATAAGTTAACAATTATACTGTAATAAGTTAACAGTTACACTGTAATAAGTTAACATTTACACTGTAATAAGTTAACAGTTACACTGTAATAAGTTAACAGTTACACTGTAAATAGTTAACATTTATAATGTAATAATTTAACAGTTATACTGTAATAAGTTAACAGTTACACTGTTATAAGTTAACAGTTACACTGTAAATAGTTAACAGTTATACTGTAATAATTTAACAGTTATAGTGTAATAAGTTAACAGTTATACTGTAATAAGTTAAGTTATAATGTAATAAGTTAACATTTATACTATAATAAGTTAACAGTTATACTGTAATAAGTTAACAGTTACACTGTTATAAGTTAACAGTTACACTGTAAATAGTTAACAGTTATACTGTAATAATTTAACAGTTATAGTGTAATAAGTTAACAGTTATACTGTAATAAGTTAACAGTTACACTGTTATAAGTTAACAGTTACACTGTAAATAGTTAACATTTATAATGTAATAATTTAACAGTTATACTGTAATAAGTTAACATTTATACTATAATAAGTTAACAGTTATACTGTAATAAGTTAAGTTATAATGTAATAAGTTAACATTTATACTATAATAAGTTAACAGTTATACTGTAATAAGTTAACAGTTACACTGTTATAAGTTAACAGTTACACTGTAAATAGTTAACAGTTATTCTATAATTGGTTTACAGTTTAACATCTGGTACATTACTAATCGGTAAAAAGACACATATACTTTTTTTTTGTAGTTGTATATTTATAGAGAAATAGAAAACTGTTTCGCTCTTTTTCTTCATAGCTAGCTTCTTTCGTTTTTGTCGTTTGTTTAAAATGCCCTTTATACTTTTACTCCTTATGTGTCAGCTGTCCACTATTTCCTGTTAGAAATTTCTACATATACCACATAATGCACAATATTGATTGGTGGGCTTAGGTAAGAAATTTACTAGATCAGGAATTCGGGCTGCGATAAAAATATACAACAAGATCCAAAGAGTAATACTTCATTAATTCAGTATTGATCTCAAATAATCCTTTTTATTTGATACATTATTTGATACATAAAAAAGTGTATTAATCAGAAATACTGACGCCACTTATCTTAAGCGTTTAGGACATATGTCCTAATATTGATAGCAGAGGAAAATCTCAAGTAGTGAGAGTGTGGTTAAGAAGTTTTACAGTTAAAAGGTGTGACTGAGGATTCTTGATAAATCCGGAGTGTACGTGCACTTTGCCCGACAATTTCTTTTTAAGTAATGTAAATCTAAGCCTGGCCACAATAAAATAAAACTCACCATCGGGAAAAAAGATAAAAAAAAAGTTATATAAATTACAATGTATGTATACTGGAGTTTGTGACCGGGGCTAGAAGTGGTACTCCCTGAGCTGTGTCCGTGACTAGCAGTGTTAGTCCCCGAGCTGTTATCTTATTACCTTCGCGTGATAGTGATACGTAATCAGGTGTTTTGGTCTCATATACTTTGCATATATGTATATACATACATAATAGGACGAGTTTTCGAGGCAACCTGTCCCTTTGTTAAGACACACATGTTACACGATTTGATCACACAATATGCAATACCTACTTAACTCTAACGCACACGTTACACCATACACCTTTGTCCGGATGGTAGCTGAATGCATAAATACTTATTCGTCTCAGTCCATACAAGTACACATTTAAACAAAATAAATCATCAAAAGTCTGAGCCTCTGATACAATCATATTATTATAAAATGCATTTCTCCATGATGATCTATTATTGTACCTCAGAAATGTATCGTGACATTACAATCCATACAAGGATATCAAATATACATAGGAATAACAAACACGGAGCAACATTCCCAGTTATAATTCCATTCCCATTTTAAATTAGTGATTAATAATATGAATAATATAACCTTGTCATCTATACCATATAGTCAATATATTTCAACAGTACCAAAATACCGTCAAAGGTAACTAAGGAGTAGGTATCATAACACACCCGATATTACCTGGAGTCGTAGTTCGGTTTTCACCCAGCCACCCACACATACAGGCCAATTAGTAGAATGACATGATATTTGTTTATGTCGCTATTGGGAACCTAAGATGGATTTTATATTTTTAGTAGCTTACTGCATCCAGTCTATTAAAATATTCACGGAATACAGCTGGTTGGTATAAGTCTACATGATATACAGTGTTAGAACTGTGTTCCTATTTATAGATCGTGTTAGTTCTGATTACACACAATAACTACGTTTGACCTTTCCTGAGATTATATACAATTATTATATGGTTAGTATGCATATACATTAAATACACATAATCTGCGTTAAGATTACCTTCAATAAGTGAAGAAAAAAACCTTTATATTTATATTTTATAAAGCACACCTTTTTGTTACATTGTAAGCATTCTGTTGATTGCTCTGCACGTGACTACCTTTTGTCATCAGATTTTTAGACATGGAATACTTTTTGTCTATTCGCATAAAAAGATGTTTTTTAGACAGGTGGTTTTATATTATGATACTGTTATCGCATTAGTGAACTCGAACGTTCAGCTGGTCACGTGATGTACTAAAGGTTGACAGACGGAACATGTATATCTGCACGTTTTCTAACATATAATCTGACTAAAATACTGATGCTGGATTTCTCTTTACCTTATCTAGTGATAAACACTTATATCAATAAGATTGAAATTTACTCTAATAAACGGTCATAAGACGCTGTTTGTCGCATTGTAGATCACTAATCACGTCGTGACCCTGAATGAGGTCAGTATTGTGATAGGGACGAGTCCGTTGGGGATTTGCAATGTTTTATTTTACATTCAGGAGTCACGTCGTTTGGAAGTTTTTCTTTGCTGTAACCCCCATTACAAATTTTGACACGTTAGGTTCACCGCATTTCATGTCGCTACTATCGGCATTTACCCTTTGGTGATTAAAACGCAACCGGATTCAGGACCCGGACAAATGTAAAATAAATATCCCTGATCTGATTCAGCGCTTCTGTTGGGATTATTAAAAGGTGCTTAGATGATAACCAGAATTGAAATAACGCAATTTATAGCAACTTTCAACAAACATTTAAAAAAATGTATATCTTCCATTTATTTTGACACCGCACACCGCTGATATCTGTTTGAAGTATACAGATCCCACCAAACTACTACGCATGAAGGGCTATGTATACTGCCTATGTATAAGTGACCTTACCAGGCACGTGTAGCTGCCTATGTGCTGGTACGCAGGTTAGTCCACCATATTTTCAAACAGAAAACATAAAAACAAAAACACTGCTTGTTGCACCACTTTCCCTTTTCCATGGCCCCTTCTTTGGACACGCTAATGGATTCACTCCGATCTAGGGCTAGCAATGTCCTTGGTTATGTAGGCTAATAACTATAAAACTATAGTGTTGATGGAGGCGATATCTAGAGCTTTTTGTGTGGAGAAGGTTTTATATTATCAACATTAATTAACATGACCACTGAATGGTACTAGTCAATATAATCAAGAACAACATTGAAATAAGTGTATAACAGTTTACAACATACTATTAGCAAACATCCTTACCAATAATTAATAATGTGTAATACGTTACGCCACTGCTCCGTGGCTAGATCTCCCTCGCAGGTGTACCGGATAACCTGCGCGGGAGTTCCGGTGCACCGACTACTCATCTATGTGTGGTGAGTGTGTTTAGACACGGATATCTGATGGTCAGCCAACGGAAAGACTATAAACGCCTTACTTATGACTAGTCTCAATTCTCCAGATATTGAGGAAGGACAGTTTGGACAAAGAAGTGAGAATTTGTATGTGTGTGTGTTTACATTGTGACTATGATGCAATTACGACACACCCTTTTGGGGATTTTCTCCCACTTTAGACCGTCTACAGGGAATTTTATAAGTTAAATTCAGCTAGCACGGAATAATCCTTGTTTTCACTCATCAGAAATGTACCTACCTTTCATTCCGGTGAATACTTTAACAAATAATCCAAGATTTTTATGGGAATATTAACAACCTCCTTCACTGCGTATTAAGTGTGTATTTCTATAAATAGCAAGGGGATTCCCTATACATATTTCTTAAAATGTCGTAATGTATTCCATGATATGTCACAAGAAAAGTTACAATGTAATTCAACGACACGGGACCGCACCTTAACCATATTTTAAATGTCATATGTAAAGAAAAACAAAAGCAAAATAACTAAATATCTGTAATAAAGAGAAGATTGATGATGACAATATTTAGCATATTTCAACAAGCCATAAAACAGTTACTGTAGTTGGCTTTAGAATCTGATGAATTATTATACAGGCTTATATAGTTTTAAGGGGTCAATTTTTCATTTACAACTTGTTACTACAACATATACGTTATAATTAAACTAGCAGTTAAGCTACAAGGACAGAACCAACCTTAGTCACTGACAGACCACCAGTAGGGTAACATTCAGTGTCGGCCGTTTGATAGTTTCTTATTTATCGGCTATTTGAAATTTGTCGGTCCCGTTTCAACCTTCATAATTTTTTTTATACCTCAATATCCTTGTTGAATATCAACGTAATTTTCAATTTTATTGTTTTGTATCTCAATGTTACCTTCAATTATGCTTTAGTTTGGATGGGTTTATGTCTCTTAATGCGATCTTTATCATTATATTCGAAGGTTTTGGAATAATCAGTTTTCTTAATTTTGGGATCATTTATTGACATAAGTTTAAATATCTGTTGTACTGTTTCATATGTTATATTTAAACTTTTGAATTGTTTCCACAGTCATACTCAGTATAGTTTCCGTTCCACGTACAGCCTAAGTGTGTTATTCCATCTATTGTGACGTCAGATCTAACGAGATTTATTACCGTACATATTCTGATAGAAATAATATATCTAATGGGTTTCCATTTCATATAAATGTATGAAACGAGTCTGGAAATTTTCGTATACTCGTGACTTTCACAAGCTAAGTGAAACGTTGGAATGTGGCAAGATTATGAAAAACCTTGATTGCATTAACAAGAATGTGAAACTATGCAAATTCTTTGATAAGCTCTCTTAAGTACCAAAACTGTCACGTATATACACATTGCTCGTTAATCATGCGTAAATTATACACACATGTATATAATTAGCGCAGTGGTCATGAGATAACAATAATAACAAACTCGGTCACTTTTCCTCGGATTTATCATTGATTGGTTGATAAAATATACATCACAAATCCATTTTTTCTGATTAAAAAAGTTGTAGCTTTTAAAGGTCAATCTATTGTTAAAATGTCATTGGTAAATTGAAACCCTTATACAGTGTTACCGGCCAGGTGTAGAATAATACCTTGTTAAATATAGCGGATGGTCACATTAACGTGGTAATGTCTGATCAAAACATAAATTATTTGCACTAATTTTGCCTACACTGTTTCTGCATAATCATTAGCGATTTCACCATTCTCGAAAACTTAATTCAGGTGACAAAATATCTTGGTAGTGCATAAATCGATTGATGTAAACCTTTTTATACAGAAAGAAAATAAATATATATTTGTTTCCATGCACGAGAAACTCAAAATCTATTGGATAAGACAAAAACAAGACTTGAGAAAGCCCACAGAATAAGTGTGACTAACATGACACCGTTCATACGGTGATATACCCGTCTGTGATTAACACAAGTTGGTCATGGACAACAAAAACAAGAGCAAGTTTATAGCAACAGAAAAAGTAACAGAAATTATAATAGCTTGTCCAAAATGTTTTAAAATATGTATAATTTACATTAACCAGTTAAGGTCACGTGATGAAAACTGGACAATGTTACACAGTGTATCAGCTTGTTGCGACGGAATCCTTGTAGGGGTTATTTACAAGGAAAGTTAGTTATTTATGAAGCTTGTATATTTTTAACTGTCTGAACCTTCTGAGATAATAATGACAGTTTTAATTGACATTATAAAATTAGTATCTAGCGTTTGGTGTTAGTTTTTATGATACAGAACAGATATAAGTAAAACGATATCATCTAAAGAGTGTTGTTGCTGATTGGCTTCCTCCACGTGAAGTCAAAGTTGTAACACATCAGAAGGCGAGGTGCATTTCATGTTGGTAATTGTTCACGTCTTTCTGGCATTTTCAAAAGTAGCATAACAAATATAGTACTGACTGACATAGCATGTTATTATCATCTAATGCATCGCAATTTCTGCGCAAGAAGGGCCTCTTCTTCATCGACTGAAGAAGGCAGAATTGCAAGCAGCTTAATACGTTTCAATTATTAGTGTATTAATGTATACTTATTTGTTAATTAAAGGCTAAGTTTGTTTTAAACACAAAAATGAACTGAAAATTTATCTTGCGAGCTTTCGAAAACGTCTGTTCCTTTGTCATATACCATAATGTCAACATACAAAGTCAAAATGTACCACAGATTCAAAACACAAAGACAAAATCTACAATATAATCAACATACAAGGACACAATTTACCATAACGTCAACATATAAAGACAAAATTAAATAAGTAAAACTGAGGCGATTTTACTTTTAACCACCGCTGCGCTATTTCTAATAAGTGCTTCTATTGTTTCGCCTACGGCCACTCCAATTAAATAATCCTGGATCAACGTTTCCTACATTTTTCTATATGGTTGATCGACGCATATCTCAAGTAGACTACGAGATAGGTCCGGGTTACAGGGTTGGGGTATGTCGGTCAGAACGGAGACAACAACAAACCAGTTCAGGTGTACAAAAACACGGTGTTTACGATCAGTTGTTTACACCTTACTACTTTAACACGTGTGCAGAAGCATGTTTACCTTATTTATTACATCATGTCTATAGCTGGTATCGCTAAATTGGGTCATAAATGAATGATACAGTCATATGATAACTTGTTTTACTCAATGCATCACTGTTCGTCAGTTTCAATCTCTTACTTGATGAGAACTTGTCTATAGAATCTCTTGTCAGAAAAGAGTATCTACATGTAAAAAAGAAAGAGAAATGAACATTTTAATCAGCTCATGTAGCTTTGAAGGAATATATGATTACTAGTATGTTTTCTCTCGTAAAACACCAATGCTTCTATGAGGGTCTATTTCCCTTTAAGAAGCACAATTACATATATATTGTAAGGATAAAGATCTGATCTGAATTGTGAATTATAATTGTGTATTATGGTAGATCAATAAAAATGATCTGGTTGTGTGCCAAAGGACTGTTATAGGAAAACACAAAGGTTTTGACAAAATCCGGCCTTTAGTTATATTTAAATAGAATGTTGAAACATTCATACGGTGTTTTGATTTAGCATTGAAACTTCCGACCGTGTTGTTCATCAATGAACGATATCAAATACGCGACAATGTCATTGTATTTATGTACCGGTGAATTATAAATTAATAAAGTTACGTAAACAAGTACCGCACTTGTGACATACTTATTTCAAAACTATTTATTTCATCGCATGACTGATTGTGAATAAACCAACAGTTAATTTAAAAAGTGAGGAAATAAGTATCAAGCAAGTCCATGATAGAAATTGGATATTATGTATATGCCACTCTATATGGATTTTGGAATCTATGTATACTACGTAATGTGTAATTTTGTAGTTGTAAAATGGGGATTTCTTACTTCCTTCTAACAAAACTTTCATTCTCTGGTATTGTAATCGTAATACATTTGTAGTTCGTTACCCCGAGGTGTGACTTGCATTCCTAAAATACTTAGACGCGGAAGACACGAGCATTATATCTAAATACCACTGTGCAAATCTTCATCCTTTTTCGAGGAGAAGTAATGTTAGGGGAATTCTGGGGACTCCCTTTTTCTGATACATTCAAGTGCACACTTAATCTAACTATTTCCTTTACAATGTACACCATTACAATGTACACCTTTACAATGTACACCTTTACAATGTACACCTTTACAAGGTTCACCATTACAATGTGCACCTGTACAATGTGCACCTTTACAATGTGCACCTTTACAATGTTCACCATTACAATGTACACCTTTACAATGTGCACCTTTACAATATACACCTTTACAAGGTACACCATTACAATGTACACCTTTACAATGTACACCTTTACAATGTTCACCATTACAATGTAATGGTTTAAGTAAATGCAGTTTTGGAGTGTGTACGTAAAGAAGTATGCCCGCCAGATTATGTAGATCCATGATAATTGGCTGAAGGTAAATTATAGAGATTGCAACGTCTTTGGTTTAATTATTTGAATCGGCTTCAATAAGCCATATGTTTCTATGTGAGTGACACCCAATTAAGTGTTACTTTTTTTTAGTAAAATGTGTTATTATGTGAGCACAACTTACTTTAGTGTTACCTAATTATGTTACTATATTGTATATAATTACTTGTATGTGTATTTGTAGCTGTTTTGATACTTTTGTTACTATTTTTAATATAATGCTTAGTTCAGAAACTCCTCTCGTTATTTAGATACTTTAATGTGTTTAAATAGTAACACACTGCTATATTTATACATATTGCTTAGATGATTTATATATAAACAATTAGTTAATTGTTACAAATACCTTATATGATTGCAGTCATTATATCATTGTATATCTGTAGGGATTGATAGCATTAACCCGTTCCCATTGGACGAAAAAGAAATGATGATAAGATTAATATAATTGTCTGATATGATGCATTCTTCATATGAGGTTATCGTGTTTCATAACGTCATGGAGATGAACTTTGACCTTCCGAACACGACTAGCCCGTTTTAATTCACAAAGGCTGCTATTATCAAACTAAATCCGGTGCTGTGACGAGAATATGGCTCTTAAGTATTATATCACACATTTGAAAATGTCCACGAAATGTTAAAGATGTATTACGACGTCTTCATAAGAACACGTCAGGGCTGTTGTGACGTCAAAGTTGACAAAGCTCACTGTTGCCTATTTATCACAGCAAATTCTGCTATCTGACATGTTGGTTAAACGTGAAAGCAATAACAAAATGTTCTTTTCCACCGTAAAAAAAAATCTTCACTCAAAACCTTATTTTTCCCTGTTAAGTTGAAAATA